AAATGGTGCTTAAATACCTTGCTCCCACCACTGCTTTCCCTGGAGCAAGTGGAGCCTTTGTGCCTTGCTGGATCTCCTGAACGACTCAACCATCATTTTGTGTAATTTTAAATGTACAGTTTGAATACTTTATTTATGAGGATAAATGTTGTTTACAGGTGTGAAATCTTACTGGGTTTTTTTCCAAATAGTGCAGAAAGCTTCAGTGTTCAACAAAGCCCACAGGTTCCCTTTAGAAGCCGACAAGTGGGGTTTTGTGTTGATTTTGTTGTTATTTCACACGATCCTCACTGAAAATACTGTCACTGCTCTCTGTTTCCAGAAATGGGCCATTTAACTGAGAAAACCATATTGTCTTATGCACTGCTTCACTGTGAAGAAATTATGTTGAAAGAGCATGCAATATTAAAGGTATTTTGAATCAAATTCACTTCAGCTGGTTTCAGGGGAAGATTTAGCCTTGTTTTCACAGGGCTCTTTATCAGAACCTAGAGCACAAAATACTCTGTTGGGTCAAAGTTAAGGTTACGAGACAGTAATGAAAACAGCATTTTTACCCTCAGTTACATGGACAAGGCGGGATTGCTGTGCAGCCACAGCTGTTTGTCACAGGGCTGTGATGGATGTTGTCACTTAGCAACCGCTGCCATTTGTGTTTTAACTGCAGCTCTTTTGTTGTTGGCACGTAATGAGAGTTGTAACGACGAGATCAGTCCTATCAAGGGTGTTTGTTATCGAGAGTGATGGGCTTTAGGACTCACCTGTGCCCAGCCTACAAGGGCTAAATTGGAAGATTTCATGAGTGATGGCTAATGCAGCTTAATAAGGGTTTGTTCAGGAGCTGGCTTGGCTGGGCCAAGTCATGCTTCAAGATGTACAGCCTGCATTCACCATCTGCCAGGCCTGGCTCTGCAGCTCCTTCATCCTCCCAGCCCTGCTCAGAAGCTGGTTTGAGGCCAAAGCTCTGAGTGCAGAAAGGAGGGACCAGCCTGGGCAAGCCTGGATGTCTCTGTGCACAGCAGCACCAGATCCCTGCTCCCTCCTGCTGACCCAGCCTGAGAGCTCAGGGAGTATGGGGGCAGTGGGGACTGGAAATGTGAGGAGTGGAAGATAATGAGATGGGAGAACTGGGGATTGAAGGTTTCTGTCTCCTGAGGGTAATTCCCACCTGCATTGACAATGAGGGAAAAGGGTCAAACCTATGGGAGTTCAAGCTCTGACCCTCTACAGGGACTGGTTAAGGTCGTGGTTTAACACCTGGTCTGACCTGATCTGACCAACAAATGTGTCTCAAAGACGTGGGTGCACCCCCTGTGCCAGACATTGGGCTCCTGCCTGGCATGGAGGTTACCAACAGGCAACCAGGGAATAACTTGATTTGGATGGGCTTGTTTTGGAGGCAGAGATGTGAAAGGTATCTTTGCAGCCCTGTTATATGTTCATTATTATGTAAATAAACCCTTTCAGCTGGTGTGCTCTGAGCAGAGAGTGAGTACTGGTATGATGGATAGAAACACTGTTTAATTTCAATTTGCTTTAACTGAAGCTGTTGTGTACTTGCACCTGTAGCTCTGCAGGGACCCTTGGTGAGGTCCCCCTCCATCAGGGGGATTTAGGAGAGCCCCCAGGCTGTGTTTCCTTACAGTTGGACATCCTCAGCTCTGCTCTGCCTTGTCCACATGAACACACCACTCCTTCAAATCCCATTTCTCTGTTAACCTGCCAAGGTTAAAGGCAGGACCTGTCCTGCCTCTGGGGCAGCACAGCTGACACAGGCCTGGCCCTGCTGAAGTGGGGCTTTATTTCTCAGCAGAAGACAAAACCCACTGCTCGGAGGGGAAATGACACAGACCACAGAGCTGCTGCTACTGGTAAGTTTTTCCACTGGAAATTGCTGAGATCTTCTGCAGTGAAGCTGTTTGATGAGTTCCTCTCTAATGCACACCGTTTTTTAGAAGCCTTGATGAATATGTATTGAAAGGTAGAGCAAATTTTATCAGAGGAGGATAGAAGGAATTGCATGGGTGTGCACAAATTGATCTGTAATCACAGATCACGTATATCTAAGCTGAAGCAACAGCCCTAGACATTTATGGCCCATTTTTGACTAAGTTGTGCAATTAGTGTAATTAGGCAAAGAATATTCTTTGTATTGTAAATGTCTAGTGTATTAAACCAGAAAATTAACAGCCATTCCTTTGGCAGCTTTCATAAAGCCATTGCTAGTGTAGGGCTGAGCCAAAGATGCTTATTCTCTCTAGTGTCTGAGTTGGAGCAGTTAAAGGATAAATCCTTTCTTCAGAGCTTTGCTGAAATATGTTGAAAGCCACTCTAGGAATTTCCCACCTATGTACAGATCAGACAATACAACATTGCCCCTGTGCAGATAAAGAGCTGAAATAAGCTTTGAAATTTTCTTCTGTCACAGCACCAGCCACCAGAGATGCAATTCTTTTTTAAGCTGTGGTGTTTTTTTGTCAATACCACCTGTATTTCTCCTGCTGGCTATTCACAGCTTACTTAAAAACCAAGGACAGTCCTGAGCCTGGTATCCTCTTGCATTGAGGCCCATGTCTGGGCACAGCCTCTGCCAGCATCAGCTCTGTGGGTGTTGGAAAAGCTCTCAGTGGTGAGCTGGTGGTAGTTTCTGGAGGGACAACTGTTGTGCTGTGGTTAAATAACAATGGCACTTGCTGAAGTGAATGCTCAGGATGCACCTGGGGGCAGCCAGAGCTGCTCAGAGCTGTCTCCTTGGGAGCCAAGCCTCTCCCCAGGTGAAGCATGACCACAGCTCCTTGGCAAGACTGCAGAGTGCAATTCTTAACCCAGCAGGAAGCTCTGTGGCTAGGATAAGGATCTTGTGGAAGTGCAAAAAAAGTCTGGGTAGGTAAGAAGTGGGTTTAAAATAAGTTGTGAGTGTAACCAAGTAGGGTAGGGCTTGTATGAGTCCTCAAGTGTGTGCAGATGGGCGTCCTAGAGAGGATATCCCAGCATGAGGGAAGATCCACATCAGTAGCTGTTTTGGTGTGTATTCATAAACTTGGTAGCTAAATTTCCAGCTCAAAAATCCCACCCCATTGTTTTCTGTACAAAGAACTGTGGAGTTTTTAGTTTGCTTTCATGTCCCTTAATCTCTCTAGCCTTGGGCATTTGTTCCACACACTGCCCAGACATCCATGACCCTTCCTGTTTCTCCCAGCTATCAGGTGCTGGATGGCAGTGCCAGCACCTTGGTGTCTGTGGGACTCCACTGTCACTGCAGCAGCAGAGAAAACAAAAGGCAGAGCAGGGAGCTCAGACAGGACAGAGATACAGAGTCAGCACTGTGACAGAGTTGCTGGAGACCTGTTTCTAATGAAAGAGGAAACAAATCCTTAATACCCCTTCTAAAGATAAGGAGCCCCCCCAAGCTTGTTGTACATTTGGTTTTTAGTGTACAAGTGTATAAGCATGATTTTGGACTGCAAAATCATTGGCAAATGCTACAAACATAATGTCACTCTCACCCCAGCTGATTAAAAAGAAAAAAGAGTTCCATGAAAAATTAATAGGTCTGGGAGTTGAGAGACCTTGGTAATAAGCAGTGAATTTTCCTTCTGTAACAACTCACTTTTTCAATTTGCTGATATCTGAATAACTCCTTGGAGTCTCCTAAAGTGCACAGCTCTGAAATGACAAGAATTCCAGTGTTGAACAGGAGGGAGGGGTTCACCCAGCAACCTGCTGCCTCCTCTCCTGGAGCACAGCTGAGCTACTGTCAACACAGAATGCTGCTTTTGGAACTGCAGTGCCTTCACTGGACAGGACTGCTGGAACTCCACAAACGCCCCACACTTCTTTAAAAGCACGTCCCTGCTCTCTCACTAACCCTTTCCATTTCTGAGATGAACACAGTGGCAGGAAAAGCCCTGAATTTTAGTATCTTCTGTCTTTTGCCAGGTGCAGACCCATCTCAGGTAGAATTGTGTGTCAGAAGCAGAGCTATTCTCTCCTAAAAACAGCTGCTGGTACAAAACCCAAGGGCTCTGTCACACACAAAGCTGTGCACAGAGCAATAGGCAAGTATGCTGCTTTCCTCAAAAGGCACAGAGCAAACCTTCAGCTTCAGCAGCAAGAGATCCAAACTACACCTCAGTCCACTGTACTGCTGCAGGGAGCAGATTGTCCAAGTCCTTTCACCGCTTTGGATGCACCAGCCTCCACTGCCCCAAAATCAGCATCATGTTCCTGACTCCACAGGCTGCAGGAAGATACAGGATGCTCAGAAACACCTCAGTGCTGGAAAAGAGCCCACCATGGTTTGATCTACTGCTAAAGATACTGTTGGGTTTGGGGTTTTTTCTAGGCTGCAGAAAGCTTCTTAGCACATGGCAAGATACTGGAGTAAGTTGCAAACTGCACTCTTCCCCAGGATTTTAAAAAAAACAGGAATTTTTTTCTCAGAAAATCATGTTGCCATTCACACTATGTCTACTGGTTTCTAATTGTTACCAAAGCTAATCACAGATCAAACTTGCCTTGAAAAAGCTTTAAGTGTAAGTTTCTCTCAAAAGTTAGAAACTATCTGAGTTACTTCAGGAATGGAAAATAGGAGCACTTGAAAAAAAATATCAGCAAAATGGACTTGCTTCTGGCTTCAATTAAAACCAAAGTCAGCATGTTGGTGTCACTGCTGAGATCAAACAAGTCTGTGATCTATAGGAGAAAATTTGTAATGCTAAGGATGATCAGCTTTTGACTCCTTAAATGCCACCTTCTGCTCTAGACCTCAAAATGCACAAGGGAAGCTGAGAGCTCTGTTTTTAGAATAAATACAGAAAGGTCAAAACAAGTGTCCCTTAAAACCAGTCTCCATCAGTTTTAGCTACTCTGGCTCTAAAAGGAGCCTGCAACAGCTTGTTTTCAGTCACTCTTTTGTTTTTTTTAAATGCTTCCTTATGTAGGCATGGTCTGGTGCTTTCTTAAAAAACTTTTAAAAAACCAACAAATGCCATTCTCAATGTTTTTTACTTTGAAAAAGAAACAACAGTTTATTGGAAATGACACTTTTTAACAAAAAAAAAATTCACCAGTATTAAAGCAAAGGTTTTCTAACCCATTTAACAGCTAACAAAACCATCCTTCTCCTCCAGAAGAAAACTGCTTAGACACTGCTCCCTCAGAGCAAAACCTGTTCAGTAACAGTCAACTTCATTATCCTCTATGGTCCTTACAGCAGCAAGGATGTCCTGTAAGAGGGATTGAGGGCTTTCCTCCACATGGTCACTACTTTTATTTAGCTCATCATGCAGCTCCAGTAAGTCTATTGCACCCAGAGCTAACATCATGCTCTCTGGATCTTGGAAATCCACCCCATCACCACCATCTGTGGGGAAGTTCTGAGCCAGAGAACCCTGTCTTAGTGTCCTCTGTAACCAGGCAATGCCACGTCCTGCAGGTGAATCTTCAATCTCTTGTGGATTCTCCAAAGTACTCGTGGGGTAGAAATGACCTCTCAAGCCAACCAGCACATCACAGGCTCTCTGCCCCACGGGTTTGTCACAGTCACACAAAGATCCAAACAAAAACCCAAACAGCTTTGCTCGACAAAACACCTGCAGCAGCTCGTTCTGCGGGGTGGAACTTGTGACTGCAGAGGAGACAGGAGCATAGGGACACTGGGAAAGCTGGCAAATGGTCTGACTACAGAAAAGTTCAACCAGCTCCAAACCACCAAGTCTGACTTCCCAGTCTAGGTCATGCTCCACAGTCTGGATGACTCTAGAGACAAACTGCTCTGTATCTTCCAGCTGACCTGTGCAGCCTTCTCTCAGCCACTTGGTGAACATGCTGATCACAGCCCTTCGAGGAAAACCCTCTGAGTCTGTTGACAAGATTTCCTGAAGCTTTGCTACAATGCCCTAGATGCAAAAAGACAAAGCACAGTGAGGGGAGGAACACGGAAAGAAGAACAGCAGAGGTGAAAAAATCTTGTCATTACTGGTTGTGCAATCTGCCTGCATGAACAGGTAACTTGTGAATAAAGTTATAAACAGTACAGCAGTAAACTGATGGGTAATTCTGCTCATGCAGAAAAGGTTTTCCTACCTCTTTGTTATATTGATTGCCTATGGCAGGTGACTCTGGAGCAAAGCAAGTAACGAGGGCCAGGTGTCCCACCGCAGTCACGGCGCTCGCTCGCACGTAGCTCTCCGGGTCCTCCAGCAGGTTTTCTGTGAGCCTCAGCACCTCTGAGGACAGGAGACACTGCCTGAACTCCTTCTGGTCTGTGAACAAGACAGCAATCCAAAGAAGTGGGACTTTATTTCCTCTAAGCATGAAGCTGTTTCCAATGCAAAGAGTCCTTTGCCTCATACAAGGATGACCATTGCCTGCAGGGACAGCTGCCAGGGAGAGGAGCTGCTGCAGGGACCAGGAACATCTCTGTGTCAGGCTCCCCCTCTCCCAGCAGCTTTTAGGCAAGCCCTGACAGACACTGGAACTTGGAAAATGTCACTTAGAGTTGTTTTAGCAACAAGAAAGAACTTTCTGTGGGCAAGTGGGGACATGGTTCCAGCCTCATCAAATTCATGCCTTTGCTTCAAGGAGGAAAAAATAGTCCTCCTTTCCTGTTGTCAAGCATATGACAGAGAAAACAAAGTAACTGCAGCACTGAGAGGGGCTGCAGGTAAAGTGCTAATGCAGCTGAGTGTGCTGGATGCTTCCTTTGTGACCTGGGGACAAAAGCAGTTGACAACATTCCCCTCCCTTCCAACATCGCAGAGCTACCTTAAGAAAATTAGCATTGCCTCAGTGCTACCTGCTGCCATGCCTGAGCTATCAGTAAAGCAGAAAATCAGTAATTATTCCCAAGCATATAAAGTAGGTCTAGGCTTTTAGCCTCCTAAAGCCCAGCCCCCAGCCTGCTGAAAGAAAGCAGACTCGAGTGCAGAGCAAACTAAGAACCAGAAAGTATTATCTGCCATTAAGCACTGTCACCTGCCTTGACAGACATGTCTCAACACCCCTCAGTTTAACTCAACAAAACTGCCATTAAGGCAGGCACAGCAATCTGAGTTCAACAGAAAAAGCAGGCTAAGTTTATTAACATTTTTGTCAGATTTTTATCATGATCAGAGTAAAAATTTTGACTTCTTTCTTTTCTCAGCCCTCCAGTTACAGGTCAAAAGATGCTTCACCAGCCTGACTGACTTTCACAGCATTGAAAGAAATACTCCTCAAATCTGTACTGGTAAATCTTTACACCTACCTCTCAAACACTTAACCATGGCAGTGAGGAATTCCAGGGAAGAATCTCTTACTTCCCAGCAAGGACTGCACAAACGTTTCTGGAGCACCACAAACACATCTGTAAAAGGCAAGTGACAAACCTGAACAGACATGAAATGCAACAAGCCTTACTGAAGCACTCAGTGTACAACCTCTGCATCATTTCATCTGATACAATCCCTTTTGCTGCTGCTGTGTGCTTCTCCCAGAGTTCTGCAAAGCACTATTTGGGCAGCTAAACTTAAATTCAACATAACTGTGAATAAGTGAATCCAGTGCTTTGAGAGGAAAGGCAAAGATTTCATGTGTGCCACTAGCTGCTGTTTGTCCCAGCTGGAACAGCTTCATTACCTTCCAAAATCTTCTCAGTTTGTTGCCACTGACTGTTGGAGCAGGACAGTTCCTGTAAGTGCACCAACCACTTGGATGTAGCTTGAAAGGTTTTCTTTAGAACCTGAAGCAAAGTAAAGCAGATTGACTTTACTACAGGAGGAGGCAGTGTTGCCTTTATGCCTTTAAAGGTAAAATTCATTTTAGCCTCAAACTTACAGAGAAATTCTCAGAGTAAACAAATGCACATGCCTCCTTACTATGAAGCCAGCCACAAATAAATGGTGCTTAAATATAATTTCTAACAAACACCTAGAAAAATCCCTGTGTTCAGTTTAGTATTATGAAGTTCTAGTACCTCCAGCTTTGGATTTTCAGCTGCCATCAGAGTCATTCAAACAAATCAAAGCAAAAAAACCAAATCCCCCTCATAAAAAGAATTCAATACCTCATGACCATATCAAGTTGGGCATGTCAGTGCTACTCTTAGACATGATGGCTCCATTCGTCTCAGGAAGTCTCAATGTACTGGTCAGTTACTCACTCATTACAATTTTAGCTGTTTTCTGCAAGCCACCCAGGACAAGTGTTCTACATATTCTAACACAAAGTGTGCTAAGAAAAAAGTGCAGTCAAACCCTGTCTCAGAATTATACCCCACTGGGGCAGGCTAATAGACTTGGATCTCTCCCTAGTTCTATACTCACAGTAGGGCAGGTGTTTGGACTCTGCAGATATGCTAGAAGGACATCAAACAGACTTCCTATGAGTGTGTCACAGTCTGAAACAGAGAAAACAAACCCAAAGGACTGATACTGAGAGATGGAGCAGCCAAATCCCTGTTGAAATACAAAAGGCACAGAATTGTACAACTGTTTTGGACAAGAAAGCAAAGATTAACTCACCTTTTTTCTCTGAGAGTGCTGCAAGGACATCAAGAGCTGACTTCTGCACTCTGAAGCAATTGACCAAATTCCGGCTTATTTTGCTTCCCAGAGGAGAAGTTGGGCTCAGGAAGCCATTGCAGAATTGCAATATTGTCATGAGAGAGCGCAGCAAAGACACACAGGGTAAATCCACTCTTAAATGTTTCTAATGGGTGAGAGAGAAAAGAAAAGAGTTTCCAGCAACAGTCTCAAGTACAGAGCAGTTTTAAGTCAGAAGGCAGCAAAAATTGCAAATTCTAGTGAGTTCTTCAGGTACCACAGTGTCAATAACTGCAAATCTTCCTCTCTTCCAAGAACTATTGCACAGATAGAAGGAGACTCTTCCCACTGCTTGGGAAAGCAGTTCAATTTGTGTTTCTTCTCAGGATCAATAACTGCAATACAAATAAGCTTTGCTAACAAAGCTCATCAAGACAAATTTAAAACTTAAGACCAGTCCCTCTTTAAGAGTCTCAGTATCCCTCTGTTTTTCTATTCAGAGCCTGCTGTGCTAAATTTCCTTTAACTATGGAAACCCTCACTGCCAACTCCTCTCCACATTGTTATGCTCTACTGCAAAAGTTTGCAACCATCTTAACGCTGTCTTTCAAGTTTGATTCCCAGGCTGTTTTTTTCTCTCTCTGAATGTTACCAGAGACAGCAGCTTCTCCAGGTGAGCCAAGGTCTGACACAGGAGACCAGCACAAGATGTCTTGGAGGACAGAAGACTTTCAACAGTGACAGGATCACTGACAGACTCATCCAGCAAACCTAGAGGACCAAAGAAGGGAAGAGCTCAAGTCATCAATGAATAGAAAAGGCTTTGAATACCAAGATATTCAGGCGATGTAGTATGAATATCCCTTCAAATGCAACTGGCAGTAGGATTTACCATGAACACTGCTACTGTCCTTGACTCCTCCTACTATTTTTCCTCCAGTTTGGTCTGCACCAGGCACTTAAAATACTGGCAAGAACACTGGCCTCTAACTTTTCTGTCACAACTGTACCTGCACATTCCAGAGGCTGGGAGGCTGCTCTCAAAATACAGTCCATTGGCTGAAGCAGAACAGTCAGTGCCTGAATTCTGACATCTTGTGGGCTTCAAGGAGGAAACAGCAGTTACCAACACAAGTACACTTCAATTCCTTCCCAAATACCTGCTCCCAAATGCTGAGCAGGACAATGCTTTTCATGCAGGCTTTTAAACAAGCCAGCAATGACAGAGCAACAAAAACAGTAGGGGACCTTCAGATAGCAGAAGGGAACCTTTTTCTAAGATCCCCTTGCTAACTGAAAGCAGAGGATAAATTGCTCTGGAATTTAGAAGCTGCTTTATCAAGTTAAGCAAATAGAGAGTGAGATCCTGTGCAAGGAGGCTGGGAGAGAGGCATATCTTGTCAACAAAAGAGTGTCCTTCTATCTTAGAATATGAGCATTACTTAGCCTGTAAATTAGTATCTGTATGTGCTGTATTCATCTGATGATTTCCTGCTGCTTTTTCACTAAAGGAGAATCATGGAGCAGAAACACCTGCATATTGCAGAAATTTCATTGCAGTAAGTCCTACCATTTGCAGAGCTTCAAAAGTCCCACTGCCAGAGGACCTGCTTGTACTGGGGTTAAGTGTTCCAGAGCAGAAGTTACTAATGCCCAAAAGCTGCCTTCAGTGCCACAAAACACAGGGGACCTGAGAAGACAGAAGTGTAAGTGTAACCTATTCCATGGTGGCAAACAGATCTATGTCAGCACAGGCTCCAAGGTGCCAGAAGATCTTTACCGTGCAACGTTAAGCAAAAGATCCGCCAGCACAGGCTGTGCTTGAACAGTCTCCTCCAGCAGAAAGGATTCTATTTGCTTTGCTATGTCTAACCAAAGGACTTCAGTCCATGAAGCATAACAACTGCCAAAACAACTGCCAAACAAACTGCTCAACAGTTTCAGGGACTGCTCAATGTGAGAGGCAGAGCTGGACTGAAGTGACTCTTCTATGTGCTTGACAATCATCTGGGCACACGCTGGCCACTCACAGTCCTTTGTACTGAGAGCTTTCGGGGTTTCAGACTCCAGGGAGAAGGTGAACATGTGCACCAGGAGCTGGCTGGCAGCTGAAGCCACAAACAGGCTGGGATCACCTTGCAGAGTGAAGATCACATCCATGCCTCCTGTGGGAAAACAAAACAAGTTACTGGAGGAACAAACAACCATTTATGACTCTAATTCAGGTACCACACAGCGTTAAATGGTGATGGTGGGATTTCCGTACACTTTATTTTGTAATCTCTACTCAAAGTCAGCCAGTCCCTAGGAACAAGCAAATGGAAGAAGAAGATAAAATTGTTTTCAGATCCTCAGGGGTTTAATAACTCAGGATCAGACTTCAATATAACATCAGTAACATTAAGAGAGTTGACAGCACACTCAATGTGTATTTATGGACAGAGCCTGTACCATCTCTGGCCATAACCACTAGGAAAAACCTGAACAGCAGCATCAGTACCACTTTCCCATCACATGGACAGCAGTTTGTGCTGCTCTTTAATACCAATACAGTCTTTTAGGCCCCTCTGTACATGGGATCTAAACTTGGTGTTAACAGCACAATTTACATACTTCCACAACAACAACAGGATTGCAAATTTGTGCAAGCACAAAGACAAAAATGAGCCTCTGCTTAGTTTTTCTGCACTAAAATCATGCTGAAATGTGCCCTTTAGTAGCAGTTACAAATAGGAATACAGATAGCTCTTAATTTTATAAGGGTAATTTTGTAAGATTCTTTCCTCTCTTAAAAGAGCACCACCTTCAGTGTTTGGAGAAAAAAATACAGATGCATAACTAAATTAACAAAGGTTAACTTAATGTTCAGCTAATTTAACCAACATCTTTCAACGACTTTGGTGTTCTGACAAATGGCTTATTTTAATCTTAAATAAACAAACACTCCCATCTTGCTCATTCGACATGTGAGCAACAGCCTGGAATGGCAGGGACACAGCAGATGTGGGGGGATGGCAGCCCCAGCAGCACTCACCCGTGGAGCAGAGGAAGTGCAGGGCAGGCTGGTGGTGCAGCATGCTGTGCACACCCTTCAGCCAGGCGCTGCGCACCAACGCGTCCTCCCACGCCAAGTCAAGAGTATCAATACTGTAGTGAAACCTCCTCTTGCTAGAAGTTTCATTAAAATGGGCAATTTTCAGAACCTCATGCTTAAACGCAACATATGGACAAACCAGAGTGTTCAAAACCAAAACTGCTTTGTTTTCATGTGCTAAGGGATAGCTTATGTGTATCAGTTCCATCAAACTGCTTTATACACCTGCACACATCTCTTCCCTAAAGGAAGCCTTTTGGGTTTTGTATTAATGTGTATCCTGTTGCAGAATGCAAGGCTTTAAAAAGCTCCCTCATTTTTGCAGGGAATCAAAAATTTCCTGTCACCCTTCTATGGAGGGAAAATGGCATTTGTTAGTGCAGTCTAAATCTACAGGATGTGTCCTGGGACACACTACTGTGTAGTGATTGCTGTCAAGTAGTGTTACCCCATACATTCTTTTAAACCAAAAATGGGAAGCACCACACATCAGCATTCACAGTCCTGCTGCTGTGAGACAGCTGCGAGAAGCAGCTTTACGTGGGAATTGAACAGGAACGCTGATTGCAGGCCTCTGTTGTCATGTCACTTTTGCTGAGTTGTTCCATAAATTTACTAAGCAGAATATGCACACTTTCAGGGGTCATTCATACAGGAGGAGGCAGACACACAGCAGCAGGTACCTGGCTGGCCGACTCACCTGCAGGTGCTGGAAGCGGCTCTCGGAGGAGGCGAGGATCCCGGCCAGCTGCAGGGTGAAGGCCAGGATGCCGGGGCTGGGATCTGCCAGGGCCAGCACGGAGCTGATGAGCTCTGTCAGACACGGGTTATCCTGCACCAGCTCCACAGTCCCATCTGCCCAGGAGAGACCAGCAGGTCACTGCCAGGACTGTCCTGTCTCATTGAAGTGGTTCCCTGAGCTGAGGGAAGCCCTGCCAGTTGTTAGAACTGATGAATTCGGGTTCAACCACAGCATTTTCAGGTGTCACAGCACCTCGGACAGTTGTGGAGACACGTAAATCCCACCTGGACCTGTTCCCGTCTAGGGGACCCTGCATTGGCAGGATGCTGGATGATCTCCAGAGGTCCCTTCCAACCCGAACTATTCTGGGATTCCGTGATGGACCTCCGCTCCCCTCGGACCAGCCCCCGGCACTCACCGAACCACGTCAGGCTGCGGAACCAGTCCAGCAGCTTCTCCAGGCAGGTGTCGTCGAGGCCGGGCTGCCGCGGGTCGGCCAGGGCGGCGCAGACACCGGGCAGCAGCACGGCGCACTCGCGGGTCATGGCGAAGCGGCGACGGGCCCGGGCCACGAACCGGGACTGGGG